TGATTGTGCGGGAAACCGGCCGCAACGGCTGCTCACGGGCCATTTTTGCCCTGAAATTCTTTCGAACAGCGACTCGGACACGTACACGGGAATTCTTTAGCCTGGGGTCTCGCGGAATTCCTTAGACGCGATATTAGAAAATGAATATTCCACGGGCTCTCTCGCAGTCCCCGACGTTTATCTCTTAATAAGTTTCCCGCGGGGACAAGTGACGAGACATTACCGTGGGGATAGCCGATGAACTTTTACAGAAAACTAGAAAACTGTCCATTAAATTCCTCCTGATTCCGCTCGAATAAAAATGTAACGTTTCGTGTTTCTAATTAGTAACTCGTACCATTGCGCACGGTTACTTCTCTCTTTTTTTTTCCGGCCGCCGCTTTGCATGCATGCGATCACACGGGAATTTAATACACCTTAAGACGCGCTGTGCTCGCCTCACCGCTCGCAATATTATCGCGGCCGATATCATCTGTCCACGAAGAAACCTGTCCAACATTGTTGATACTCCCGTCACGTTGAACGTACATTTCGCGCGGAATCAATAACGTCAGATAATCCGGTGCAACAAATTAACAGTCTCGCGTTATACGACTCCGGCGAGACGTCCGGGTGACGGGTTCACGCCGATTCCGCGGCGGCCAATTAATCGATCCAATTAAAAATTTTTCTAAATTTCACCAATTAACACGTCCCCCGGTCTTTTCTTTTTTTCTCTTTTTCGTATTCCGCTTTCTCCGGCGTTCCGCAATTACGACCGCAATTGCACGGCCCCGTTCTATAATTATCCTCGAGCGGGAAAGGGGGAGGAATCGGTGTAACGGGTCGAACGAAAAATCTCGGTGTCCCTCGGCCAAGATGGCGGCGGACGTGTGAACACATAAAATGTTCCGCAGAGAAAACCGAGTTCGAGAAAGGCCGCGGCATGGGCTGACGGAGCGAACGCTCCTCCGAGGGCGAGGGGAAGGGTTTTTTGTCGAGCCCGCTAGCTCGGCTCGGTTCGCAGGCCGCGTTGCTCGTGGCGGCCACGTCAATTTGTCGAAATTCGTTCCGAATCGTTTTATGTCTGCCACGCCGCGAGACGCGACCCGCTACCATGCGTACACAACGCCTCCTGCCCCCATAGCGCTACCACACATCCTCCCGAGTCCCGGTTCCCGAACCGTTTCTTCGATGATTCGTCTCGAGACCTCTAAGGACACATAAACATTTCTTTCGCGCCGCGGAGAACGATTTTCGAAGGCGGGGCCCCGGCCTCACCCTTCCCCCTCGCATCCCATCCCGGTGCACGGCCACCGAGAAATCGTCCGTTCCTCTTCGGGGAATTATTTTCGTTAATTTGACGATTATACGGGGCACCGGCGGTCGATTAATTAACGTTAGCCCCGGCGAACGGCCGGCGAACGGAAAAGGAAAGATTGTTGAAATATTCGGCCGTCTTTTTAATTCGATTCAATTTAATCCTATAGAAACGGCGCCCATTCTTTTTCGCATTTTTCGCCGACCGGTGCCCATTCATTTTCAATCTCTCGTATCGGCGCGATCGGCCCGTACGATTTACAAGGAAATTCGTGGATATTGAATTTCGCGTGTTATTGATTTCGTCCCGGTGCAAAAAACGAGAAAAAACGGAGGATAAAAAGGCAGACAGAAAAACACACGAAAAATGGTGAAAAAAGAAGTTCGGGCAGCGCGTATGCTTCATCATTCGGCTCGATGAACGCGGCATGAATGAGTCACGAGGAGACGCGATATTTTCGGCCTCGTATCTTTCGGAGATTTGTACCTCGTTCTTTTTGCTTTAATTAGGCGAGGCGGGTGTTCGGTCTCCGCCGATTAATTATCGGGCTCGTTCGATTAGCCGTACTGCGTAGCGTCCGCTGATTTCTTTCGGCTGCAATTACCGGGAAACGGTGCAACCGAAATTATACTTTTTCCCTAATGAGTCCGCCGATACCCATCGGACTGATCGAATGTTGAGTTATTACGTGTTTCGCTTTCGAGTGGCTCGGTCGAGGTACACTTTAAATCACAAGTGAGATCCCCCAGTTGCAACGTGGTTGCACCAGCACCGGCTAATCTTATCTTATCCGCTGATCCTCCTAATGCCGCGGCAGCCGCGGTCCGTGTGTAACAAGCGTTCGTTCGCCCGCGACGAAACCGTGAAAAATATTCCCCGTTTGTATTAAGAAAATTATTTGATACCCGTTAAATAACGTCGAATTAATTATCTAAACGCTCGAAGCGAAATCCGCTGTATCGTATCGTTGAATGGAATTCCGGAAAAATGTTTTCAAATCCATCGTTTTCTATAACAATTGCAGTATTACTAAATAATACGATCTATCGAGATGATAACAAGATTAACGAGCGATTAACAAGATGTAGAATTTATTTACAAAAAGTTGTGCTTTAGAGAGATGATTAGTGACACGTTTGATTAATATGGAATATCAAATTAGTCCAAAAGGGAGAAGTTATTTCGTGCGGTTCAGGTGTTATAATTTTTGCAAGTTTCGTTGTTAGGAAAAATTGAACAAGGTACGACGAACGTAATATTGGATAGATAAATGGGCGGGCGCGAGACAGATTGGTTGCCGTCGGACAGTGAAAGGTCCGTTCTAAGGTACAGATGGCCAGAAATGAAATATTAATCGAACTGATTCATTCATTTTTCAGGTTCTTTCCTTTTTTCTTGATAATTCCCACTCCGATGTTTTTGCGGTAATTAAAAATTAATTACGCAGCTGATTCGATGAATCCCGTTCTTGTGGCAACAATAATTATGTCTCATTAGCCTGTCCCGATAATCAAGTTCGTCATACTTGCCCTGGAAGAAAGTTTCATCAACTTTACGATGTTTTACGTATAAATTGAAATAATTTGATGGCATAATAAATGAGCTCCGATGGAAGGACAAATATCGTACGCAGTAATCCCGCGAGCACTGTCATTCGGCGAAAGTATAACGCAAAAGAGGTCTTATAATGCGTTTTCGTTTTGTCCGCGATCATTTTGTTCTCGAGTTCGACGGATTCGTGGCGATCGTAGAAACGAGGTTAGCTCAGGCTGCACAGAACAGCGACAACCCAAAGGACTGCATCGCGCTCAGCTGTTCCAAATGACCTAGTAACCTATACCCG